AGAGTTTAATGAGAAATCAAAACAATATTTGTTGTACTTGAAATAAGAAGGACAGAGTGCAGGTCTGTTACCCGGACTGTGTGGTCTTGGCTGCCAGTGACGACTCTGCCGGCAGCTGCACGAAGCACCGTGATCGGCTTTTGGTGAGCACACTGTACGGAGCGTGTGAGCTGGCAGCTGATCACATCCTCACTGCTGTAACAGGGAGACTGAGGCATGCTGCTTCGCCCAGGGGGACCTGGAGGGAAAAATTATTTAGAGAGGGAAAAATCCGTCCACTTAGGTTTACCTCATCTCATTTTCTTTTTAAAATAAAAAAAAAATACCTCATACTGTACATTTTTCCCCAATTAAAAATCTAACTGACTCATACAACACTGATGCAGAAACATTTCAAGCCTCACCTCTGTACTGCAGCAGACCCAGAGGTTTGTTCATCTCAACAGTGAAGAAATCTAAGGACCCGTTCAGCCTAGCTGCCACAATTCTGGGAAGGAAGAGACACTCAGAATAAAGAACAGCCGCGCATAGTAGCCACAAGTAGGATGACACACTTTTGAATCTCTGTCAGTGTGCCCAAGGGCAGCTGTGGCTACAATGTAGCTTGCCATCACCAGTGTGTCAGTGTGTGTGAATGGGTGGATGACTGAATGTACTGTAAAGCGCTTTGGGGTCCATAGGGACTAGTAAAGCGCTATACAAATACAGGCCATTTATAACATACATCTGATGTGTTACAATCTAATGTTATAGAAGCAAGTAACATCTTTTAAGAGGTTGGAAAATTACATAAAATAAATAATTAGTGTGCCATTAAAATGACCGAAAAATATTTTTTGCCGATTTAGAGCATGTGTGTGTTTAACCTGTTGTTGAGAAAGGCCAGAGCTGTGATCCCAGAAACACCGTCTTCATTGCTGCAGCATAGCCACCCTTCCACTGCGTCCCACAGCTGTAACCAGATGCAATTGTACAGTGATTCTAAACACCAGCGGATCAACAGTATGACTTTTTTCAGAGTGACATGTGAAATTTTTACAAACCTCCAGTTTGCCGCTGCTCCTCCCGGCAGCTATCAGATTCCCTCTGAGCTCCATGGCCCAGACAGAGCTTTCCCAGTCTCCTGCCGCTTGCGCCCCACCCATCGGGGATCTTTCTTGGATTACAGGTGTAGCTGCTTCCCCTAAGCTCGGACTCCTCTGGAGTTGAGCGCCTGATGGGGGCGAGGAGGAGGCTGAGGACGGAGAGGCGTAGGTAGATGGTGATGGGGGCTCGTGCTCCATGTAGGCACGCTCCACCAGTCCTCCAAAATCAAAGCCTGCTCTGGGTGCAGTGGACAGGTGGGAAGGGGGCTGGGAGGTGAAGTTGGTGTCAATGAGCGGGGTGAGATCGGGCTGGTCAATGAAAAGAGTGGGACGACTGGGCGTGGTGCGGCGTCTTACTGGGTAGAGCTCGTCCTCTGTCAGCCCGTCTCCATTAAACGAGATGTCTCGTTCAGGACTCAAACACTCTGATTCTTGAGCCCCGGTCATGCTGTCCCAGCCATTCCGGTGGTCCCAGCAGCCACTGCTGCTGCTCCGCCTCAGCCTGAGAAGGAGACA